CTGAGAGGAGCGCAGTGGGGGCAAGAGGCGCGGAGTCACCACAGAGACTCCGGGAGCCGGGTGAAAGCAGGCCAGAGGCAAGCAGCCCGCAGACTCGTTTATTTCAGTTGGTACAGAAGCTTATATAGCCAAGGCAGCCAATCTGATCAAGGGGTGGTTTATGCCCTAACCAATCACAACCTGTTGCCAGGCAGTATCCAAAGCCATCCAATCACAGCGTGTTGCCAGGCAGGCTCCATTGCCAGGTGGGTTTCAAAGCCATTCCTGAGTAACTGACGCTTGCTTGCCAGCAGCCATCTTGGCATGGCCTTCTCATTCCACCACAAAGGAACTGAGATTTTTGTGGCTCTTCTCCAATATGGCAATATTCTGCACTGAAGGAAACAGTCCTTACTTGGGAAATTATTCTTGTAGCAGAGAGAAAAGCAAAACAACTGACAACAAGATGCAATGGACATCAAGTTTCTCCGTCTCAAGATCCCCTGGTCACTGTCATCGGCAAAGCCGGTTACAGGACTAACCCCAACTTCAGGGACCCATAGGACATCCAGAATGTGGTCCAGCAGGGAAGGTCACTGGCCAACAAGTCATACAGTATATGCGCACAAAGGCTGTTTCCTTGTAGAAGGTTAGGTTGTGATGCATGGGAACAAAGGGGCCATTTACTAGAGTGCCTAACCATTCTATTCTAAGAGAATTTCTAGTCTGAGCAAACTCTCTTCTCCATAAAGGGAACATTAAATAAAATATACATGTATATATTTTTAAAATATTTACTTATTTTATTTGAAGGTCAGAGTTACAGAGAAGGAGAGGCAAAGGCAGAGAGAAAGAGAGGTCTTCCATTCGCTTGTTCACTCCCCAAATGGCCACAACAGCCAGAGCTTGGCCAGAACAAAACCAAGAGCCAGGAGCTTCATCTAGGTCTCCCTGTGGGTGCAGGAGGCCAAGGACTTGGACCATCTTCCGCCATTTTTCTAGGCACATTAGCTGGGAGCTGGATCAAAAGTAAACCAGCGCCTGAAGGGGATGTTGGATCTGCAGATGGAAGTTTTACCCAATGCACCACAGCACTGACCCCTTCCATGTATATCTTAATCCATGCATATGACGGATCTTTAAAAGATTCAAGAAAAATGCATATAATGAAAAAAACTGCATGTGAATTTCAAAATATTTTTGTATCAAAATAAACTTATTTTCATTTCCATTTTCCACACCCTCATATCTTTTTTGAAGTACCCTCATATATGTAAGGTAAAAATCTATCCATCTAGGATATGAACCTGAAATACAGAGAGAGCTTTAAAAATATTTAAGTGTTCCCACTGTTGGGAACGGACAGTCTGGGTTCATCCATCTCAAAGGTATGGCCCATGAACAATGTTAGGAGGTAAAATATTGGAAAAATGCATGAGGATAAAATATTCAAAATGGCATCGCTGCTCAGGGTTCAAGAGTGTCATTGGTCAGGATGGTCTACCCCTGGACCACGGATGTCTAATAACTTGACTTCACCCAAAAAAGCACTTACTGAGCCCCTCCACTCAAAAGGGAATCAAGACACTTGCTACTGAGAGAGCCAGACCCTGGGTCCCACTGAAGAATGCCTCTGCACCCTCCCAACTACCTGATTCCACTGCACTGCACTTGCTACTGCCTCCCACAAGACCCGTCAATCACAGGCCACTGCACCCTGGTAGGTATCTGCCCACTTCATTAGGAAACAGGACCACACAGGTGTACGCTCCAAGCCACATGAAGCCGAGGAAAGCGATGTCTGATCTGAAGGAGCAATAAACACATCAGATGCAGTGGGAGGCACGTTGATGTCTGAATTAAACTCATTAACATCCTTGCACTCCTTTTCTTGGTGGGTCACAGGCCAGAGCCAGGATTCCAAGCATGTGTGACAGGCATCCCTAGGAGCTCTAGACTACAATGATAAAAGAGGCATAATTATAAGTTAGGGAAATAATTTGAATGATTTTTTTAAACTACTTAGAGCTTGGAGCTTGGAACTCCTTAGTTTGCAAGTCAGAGCTGGCAGGCTTACATGAGGCTTTGAATATACATCGCAGCAGAGAACAACAGAAGGAAGATGGGAAAAATAGAAACACATGTACTTTTTAAAAGTTTTCCATTTTTTTCTTAATCTTGCACATCACATCTTAGAGGGAAGATTTACTGTAAATATGCTCAGGACTGAAAAACACAAATATGATATTGTTTTCTTTATTGTAGGAGTGCCAAACAGCAACAAGGTGCTACTAGACCCTCAGTTTGAATTCTTACCACAAGCTATCCATTGTTTAAGGGCGTACAGCCTATCATAAGATTTTACCCTGAGACAAGGACATAAGGTTTCAGGCTAGAAGCAATCGCTTTGTAAATGTCTGATAATAAAACAGGCAACTCTGAATGCAAATAAATTAATAACTGTGAGATTGTAAACTGTGGCAAATTTCCTTTCAGCAGGTGTGTGGCCTGGGTGAGAATTAGGAGGATGACACTGAAGACAGCTACCCATCAAACAAAGGTTCTGCTCTCTTCGCGCATGGTTTTGTATGGCACAATCTGTCTCCCAGCTCCTGCAAGACGTGGTTGTCTTAGCCTTGGAGATTAGCAGGGTTTGTGTAAGGCTAAGAGCCTATGGAATCCCCAGGCTCCTTTTCCTTGCAGACCAGAGCTGTAGACAATTGCTCCATCCTGATTGCTTCGAAGATCAGTTTGCAGGCCAGACAGGGCCACAGACAAGAAAGGAGGCAAATACTTCTAATCCATCCATGTCATGTCAGGGATAAGTGAGCATTGATGTTTTTATGGACATGCATAACAGCCGGGGGTAGGGAGTGACTACACATAGTTAGCTCTAAATATATACAAAAATAAACACAGTAAGCCCTCAATATTTGCAGATTCAACCAACAACCAAACATAGGCAAAAAAAAAAAAAATTATCCCCCAAATTGAATCTGTACTGAACATGCACACTTTAGTTCCTTATAAATATCTTCTAAATAATAAATAAGGATTTACGTTGTATTCACGAAGTATCAAGTGTTACAAGTGACCTAGTGATGATTTCAGGTGTATGAGGGGGATGTGTATGGGTTTCATGTAAAGGCTATACCATTTTGTGTATGTAGAGTTGAGCTTCTGCAGGTCTTAGTACTCCTGGGGGACCTAGAACCAATCCCTGGTGGATACTGAGGCACAACTCTAGTTCCCTGTAGCTAAAGTGAACTTCCCAGCTGACTCATGTTACACCATTGCAAATCCCTGCTTATCTTTCAGATCACAGATGAGAGAATGAAAATAAGTCCAAGAACTTGATACCACTGAGGCAGATTCTCCCTCTGCTTCTTGTACTTGCCAAGCAATCCTTGAATGTATTCTTTTATAATAAAAAAGACTGGACACATCCTATGCAAGGGGGAATCTAGGTGGATGTACAGGAATCTGAGTGTCAGTTCCTAAATGGATATTGCTAGTGAAGGGTTCCAACAGTTTGTTGGCAATGCTGTTGGCTGTTTTATTTCTTTAAGCTTTAACTCATTCCCTTATAAAGTCAGAGTATTGAAAGAGATCCCCTGTAAAATATTTTAAGCTGTAAAAATACAGATTTCTACGTTTCTAGATGTTCTTTCCCCCAGGAATTGGATATACAAGGGAAAACATCAAGGTTTCAGCAACAGAGATACCAGGAAGTTTTACTTCTTATTTTCTAGATTGATCCACTAGAAATATTGGCTATAGATCTCTGTAGTTTTTAACATTAAAAGACTTTTTTTCTAGGGGCCGGCACTGTGGCTCAGCAGGTTAAAGCCCTGGCCTGTAGCCTCATCATCCCATATGGATGCCAGTCCATGTCCCAGCTGCTCCACTTCCAATCCAGCTCCCTGAAAATGTGCCTGGGAAAGCAGTAGAAGATGGCCCAAGTCCTTGGGCCCCTGGTCTCACGTGTGAGACCCAAAGGAGGCTCTTGGCTCCAGGCTCCAGGCTCCAGGCTTTGGATCGATTCAGCTTTGGCGCTTTCAGTCATTTGGGGAGTGAACCAGCAGATGGAAGACCTTTCTCTGTGTCTCTACCTCTCCCTGTAACTCTGTCTTTCAAACAAATAAAAATAAATCTTTACAAAAAGATTTTTTTTTTCTGGGCACATCTCATCATGGTGGATAACCCTTACACGTTCACAGCTCTACCCCCTTTGCTGGCATCATATGCGGCACATGGTCTAAGCTCTGAATATGCATTGAACAAATAAGACAGTGAAATAGGGAACAAACCCATGTCCCTGAATAGTGCTGTCTTCATTCGGCACAGGTGACAATCAGGAGACGCGACACACCCACAGCAAGTGAATGAAAAAGAGATCTCTGGGGATCAAATTTAACTTTCTGGTAAAAGGTGAAATGCTTCAGACCACACTCAGGTTACAGAGCTTTGCACAGTGTCCCACATACGTCACAGCCAATGACATCTTTATTCAGTGCCCCTACTGACCTTTTGTGACCGTGAGACCTCCTGCCGCGTGGCCAGCCCTGAAGCCCTGTATGAAGTCAGGGAATCCCAAAGGCACAGCTTGTTTGGGAAGCCAGGAGAATGGATCCCTGGTACCTGCTCACAGCGGGAAAGCAATGTCTCTTTCTCCATGCAAGTGCAAACAGTGCTGTTCATGCCCAATTAAAGACCTGCCTTTCGTGCGGTCTGTTCACCTATTACACCCAACGCTCTTTTTTCTACCATGATCAAAGGGTTCAAGAGGTGAAACCCACAGCTCCTTGTCTGTGTTGAAAGAGGACAATCCACTTTTCATTTCTGGAACAGAAAATATATGGAGGGGGCACGTCCAGCTCCTGTTGGCTCCTCTCATGCCTGCTGTCTTCTGAGCTGTGTATCACACGTCTCAATACGTAAAAAGAAGAAAGAGAAAAAGAAAGAAAAACGAAAAGAAGGAGGGGAAAAAAATCTCGGTTTCAAATAATGAGCATGTGTACCTTTTTGCCTGAGGCCTTCATACACAATTTAGCCAGGAAGCCAGGGTAGATCATGATTTAGCTTTTGACATCTCCTGCCTCCAGGCCAGGAGAGACTAATACCGATTTCTGACTCTGAGCACGCCACTGGAAAAAAAAGTGAGAGAGAAAGAGGCCTTTTATTGACTAAATGATAAAGAGGTTTGTAATGATAAATAACAGTCATTTTATTGTGGAATTCCCCAGAAAAAGATGCATTCTGCAGTGTCCGAAGGAGCCTAAGAGCCGAGGTTGGTTCCCCATGGAGCCGAACCTGTTAAACTCCAATTTTTACAGCAAGGGATGGGGGTCACGAATTGCGGGCACCTCTGGCTATTAAAACCACCCACCCGCTGTCGGTGGCCGTGGTGCTGGCTCAGTGCTTCTTGGCTCCAGGAAAATCACCAGCGGCTGCATCCCGAGGTGGCTGGTCCGCAGCGCAGCCTTCGGTCAGCATCTGTCTGTCGGCGTCACCTTCTCCGGCTCCACGCGCTCAGGTTCTGATGTAATTCCACAGCTTCCAAGCTTGGGCTGCTGGAGAAATCACTGCCAGATTTGATCGATAGTTTAATTGTAAACTTGGGGAACAATAATGGATAATTTGGCTTGAACCGTCCATGATGAGCAATGCTGTCTGGGAGAGAGCCTTCAAAATTAAACAAGAGTTGGGCCACATTATTGCATTTGTACAACTCACCCAGAGTTAAATAAATCCCCCTTTACAAATGCTGTCTTGGCATTCTATGGCGTTCAATAAACATAGGGCCAGGCAGAGGGTAAGAGGGAAGAAACAGCACATGAGCTCACATTTAAACTATTCAACTTCTGGTTTCTTCTAAAAATATTATTATTGTTATATTACCACAATAATTCTTTAAAATACTCTTTGAATAATGAAAATGCTAAATAAATGGATGGGTTATTTTCAGGGCTTTTCAAAAAAATAGAAATGGAAGCCAATGAATTAAGGCAAGTTAAATGTAAATTAGCTACAGATAAAAAAAAAAAAATCCCTACAACAGCCATGGTGCTAATGACTACCACTCACTAGACTTTGCAGAAAAATACACAAGGCCATTTGGGCAACAATTGGTTTTTTAATTACAAATGTTAAGAAATAGCAAAAGAGAAACAATTCATTATTATTTCTACTAATACATTATTAAGTGTGGAAAGCGGCATATTATATTTGAGATTTAAACCAGCAAGCCTCAAACTAGGGTTTGTCTATCCCTGTAGAAATCATTAGTAACCTGTGTCAGCTCTGCAAAGTACTTGTCCTTAGATAAACTCTGCACATCTAACCTCGAGACTCAGACACAGTGAATCTGGTGACAGTAAGGGACTCTGCTCCGATATTCACTGATGGCCTGACTTGATGTCTCGCAGGAACATTTTTTCCAGATAAATGATAAGCGGGAGATTGATGAGTAGGATCATGCAGAAGAGGGAGGATCTACCAAGAGTCTGCACAAAGTTCATGGAAGACACACATGTGTGGATTTCAAAAAAAAATTTCCCACCAAAATGAACTTATCTTTGAATTATATTTTCCCATAAATTTTTTGAAATCCCTTTGTATAATGCAGAGGTAAACATTAGAGCTTTATAGGATCCAGGTACCAATTCTGTGACTTCCCAGCTGTGTGACCCTGACAAGCTGCTTAAATTAGCTGTGCCTCTGTTTATTCATATTATAAATGAGGATAATAATGGCCCTCACATAATTAAGTTATAATCAACATCAAATAAATTATTATTATTTTTTTTAACAGGCAGAGTGGACAGTAAGAGAGAGACAGAGAGAAAGGTCTTCCTTTGCCGTTGGTTCACCCTCCAATGGCCGCCGCAGCTGGCGCGCTGCGGCCGGCCCACCGCGCCAATCCGATGGCAGGAGCCAGGTACTTCTCCTGGTCTCCCATGGGGTGCAGGGCCCAAGCACTTGGGCCATCCTCCACTGCACTCCCGGGCCACAGCAGAGAGCTGGCCTGGAAGAGGAGCAACCGGGACAGAATCCGGCGCCCCAACCGGGACTAGAACCCGGTGTCCCGGGGCCGCAAGGCGGAGGATTAGCCTAGTGAGCCGCGGCACCGGCCAAACATCAAATAAATTAATATAGGCAAAGCACTCAAAAACAGCAGGAGGTTTATATTAACTGCTGGCTTGAAGAATATTAATAATAATGATGATCATAGTTTTTTTCTTATAAAAATGGTGATTGTCAGTTTTCCACTTACAAAAAAACTTTACATTTCTCATTTCTTTTGTGTTGGTATAAGAGACTTTCTTTGACATAATTTTATTTTCCAATTTATATTCAGTGTCAGGTTCTTTACTGAAGCCAAGATTCTAACTTGTAGGTATTAGGATGAAAGGGTGGTGAAATAGCCTGTGATACAGGCACCGGATTCTATTCTCTCTGTCCAGTAACATCACCATGACCGGTAGGATAGTAAATTACCTTGCAGGTAAGTTGTAAATTTCAAACTCCATTAGTTCTAGCCACTTACATTCTTCCCTTTTAAACACCTCTGTGATGGTGAGCTTTATTTTGTCCCCAGAACAATCCCAAAATTTCTGGATTAATTCCAAATCAAAGAAGCCATATGTAAGAGGCGTGGTTATCAGCATACGCACTGGGGTCAGATTATGTTGTCTGGATTCCAGCTTCGCTATTGACAGCTGCTGGTCACGTTGTTAACGACTCTGAGTTCCACTTTTCTCATTTGTAAGGTGAAGATCATGTTACCGACCTTTTAGGAGAGTTATAAGAATTAAAATCAATCAAAGGTGTAAAACTCTTTAGCACAACTGTGGAAGTTGTGGCAAGATTATTTTTGTGAATATTTTAAATGTTTCCCTCCTTATTTATTTGAAAGTCGCCTGGGGCGGGGGGAGAGACGTCTTCCATACTGGTTCACTCCCCAGATGGCTACAACTTCCAGGGATAGACCTGGTTGTATCTAGAATTGCTTCCTGGTCTCCCACATGGGCTGCAGAGGCGCAATCAGCCAGGACCCAAATGGACACTCTGATATGGATGTTGGCATCGCAAGCAGCAGCTAAACCCACTGAGCCATAACACTGGTCCCAAAGTTTATTTTTAAATCAATAAATCTTTCTACCAACCAGAACCCGAGTTTTTTCTATAATGGCTCTACATCATTCCTGAACTCAGTTTACCCACATGCTCTGCTTCTGCTAATGGGGCTTGTGCCTATGTCTACAAAAGTTAGTACAACTTGCCCAATATGCTAGCTTTTAGTTTAAATAACAGAGACATGCTTAACCTTTCTAGAGTCCACATCACTAGCATTCCAAGAATCTATGCCATTTGCATCTAGTAAATAAGTCAAGGCAAACTTACACTGTACTAAGACAATTATAGTGCTTAGAGAAATAACAGTAGCCTTAGCTGTCAATGGTTAAAATCCATCGGGAAGATGAGACTTAAGCTATGAAGAAGTACCATGAAAAACTGAATTAGGTATAGAGGAGAGATACCAGATGAGAAAAGTCCTAGAAACCACAGTCCCATAAGAATTATTATAAGGAAAACCCGGAGAAAATTTCAGGCTCCTAGACAATTTGACAGCTTTGAAGGGCTGTGATGGAAAGTAAATATGAAGCCTCTTTAGAAAACTCATAGACAATGCACACTCTCTTTTAATTCTGTTTCTCCATGAACTTTTTTGAAGCTCCTTTGTACATGGTCGGAGCCAACACCAAGAGAAAGCAGAATGTTTCTGACAGTACTTTAAGCATCAGTGAAAGAATCTGCCCCAGAAAGAAAAGATACCCCTGTCCCTGGAGGCTGTGTGATGTGCCACTGCAGGGGTTGACATGGAGAGTTTTACTTTAAGGAGAAGTGTGGGATTAGATGGTTCCAAATGTGATTCAACCCTCTGACTTGATGATCCGATCACCCTGCAGGGAATTAGTGCCTTGGGGAGCTTTGTGGAGTCTCGGAAGCCAGTACTGCTAAATGGATTTGACATCTAGAGGCAAGGAGCATGTAAATGTCTTCTTCTCTCAGAATCCCTCCTGTGGCTCAGGTGCGGAAGTTTTCTTTGTGAACCATCACAAGGTGAAGAGGCCACAGCAGCAACAACACATAGAGGGATCGCAGTACGAGAGCGCTTCAAAAGTCTCATAGAAGATGGATTGAAAATATAAGTTTATTTTAGTGCAAATCGTTTCAAATCCATGCATATAACGGGGTCTTCAGAAAGTTCATGAAAATACATGTTATGGAAAAAACTATGCATAGATTTCAAAATTTTCATACCAGAATAAGTTTCTCTTTTAATTTTATTTCTCCATGAATCTTTAAGTCTCCACCTAAGAGGTCTGACTCCTTGAAGAATGCTTCTCTTATTCTGGCAACAGAGAATGCAAAAAATGTTTTAATTTTCATTAAAATTAGCAGCATAATGATACTTCAGTGTAAAGTGTCTCTGTAGAATGAATATTAAACTATTGAAAAAACATTCAGACACTTTCAACTGGAGGGTTCAAAAATCTGCTTTGCTCTATTTGAGAAAATCTTCACTCAGATCCTATTTTTTCTTAATTCTTCAAAGCTCTCCTTTGTTATTTATAAATAACAAATAATTTTATAACAAATAATTTAAAACAAATAATTTATGAATAACAAATAATAATTTGTTTTCAAAGCTCTCCTTTGTTATTTATGGATCTTCCCATTGATAGAGACATCAAATGCCTCCCACAACCAGATTTAATCGTAGATACCCTCTCCTCTTCTTCTTTTTGTAGACATTTGATTTAGCTTCACGCACACAGAAACTCAGGATGGATAAGCTATTCTCTGCATTGTTATTGACAAATACTTACTTGTTATTGCAATAGACTATGACAATAAGTTATTTGTTATTGACCAAATTTTGACAGTGCCATAAAGTATTTTAACTTGAACTGACACAAGAGTAGATGATCAGGCAGTCATTTCTCCTAAATAATACCCAGGGGGTGCCCAAGATACTCTTTTCCCAGAATAAAGAACCCTTGGGGGATTTGAGATGAAGGACCATTACTAACAAGATGCAACCACTCAGTAAGATTTTTATCAAACATACTATATTAAAAATGCATGTGAAATTGGAATGTTTGCAAACATGTGCTGACATTTTTGATCCTTTACAACACAACAAATTAAGGTGCTCACCCTGGGAAGGTCTGCTAAAAATACTTCTTCTACATGGCCTACCGACCGGATGACTGACACTTGTGTGAATCAAGCAAATTAAATCCCGTGGTCAGAAGTCTTCAACCTGCATGTGACCAAACCGGAGGCGTGCTGAGCATCCTCAGGGCAGTCGGGCAATGCAGCTTTGGGGCTGAATCAATGGCCTGACTATTATTTGTGAATGTTGTGCTTTTCTTTCGAAGGCTTGAATTTTGGAAACCGGTTGACTTTTTTCAACAGTAAGTTAAAATGGCCAGTTCATGTATGTTCAGTTTGTCTTGTAATTAGCAGGATTTCATTAAAGTGGACTCTTGAGATTTTTATTTCACATCTCTTCCCTTCCCACACCCACCCCTGGAATTTAAGTCCTATGACGGCTTCCTTCACAGCAACCAAACATACCAGTTCTGAGTAGGTTTCCTAGAACAAGGGTCTGCACAGGCTGTTCTTGGTTGGAATTGTGGTTAGCCGTGGTCAGATTGTTGAGAGATTTTTTTGGAATTTCATCCTGATTATGAAAACTTTACCTGAGAAGTAAAGCAGTATTTTCCAAATATTTTATTTGCAGTTTCTTTTAATTAAATATATTCCTACTAGATATAATTTTCTCCATGTTCACGTTGCTCAAAAGTGAATATGTTGGGGTCAGTGTTGTGGTGCAGTAGGTTAAGTTGCCACTCACAATGCCAACATCCCACATCAGAGTGCCAGATCAATTCCTGGCTGTTCTGCTTTTAAGCCAGCTCCCTGCTGATGCGCCTGGGAAAGCAGCAGAAGGTGGCCCATGTGCTTGGACACCTGCCACCTACTATGGGAAACATGGAGTTTGTGGATCCTGGCTTCAG